TTGGAGGTTCTCTTGTATTTGAGGAATTTTTTTCTCTTGCTGCTTTTAAAATTCCTTGTCTTTTATTTTAGACAGTTTTATTATAATATACACTGAAGAAGATCTTTTTGAGTTGAAAGGTTTGGAGGGTTTATGAGCTTCATGAAGTTGGATATCCAAATCTCTCTCCAGAGTTGGGACATTCTCAACCATTATTTCTGTAATAAACTTTCTATTCCTTTCTCCCTCTCTCCTCCTTCTGAGATTCCAACATGCATAGATTGCTTTTCTTAATGGTGTCCCATAGTTCAGAGAGGCTTTCTTCATTCTTTTTCCTTCACTTTTCCTTTGTTCTCCTCTGACTGGATAATTTCAAATGAACTGTTTTCTTTTTCTCCTTCACAAATTCTTTTTCTGCTCAGTCAGGTCTGCTGTTAATTTTCTCTACTGCATCTTTCATTTCATTCACCGTGTTCCCCAACTACATAATTCCTATTTGATTCTTTTTAAAAAAAGATTTTATTTATTTATTTGAGAGAGAGAGAGAAATAGAGATAGCAAGAGAGAAAGCATGAACAGGGGGAGAGAGAGAAACAGACTCCCTGCTGAGCAGGGAGCCCAACCTGGGGCTCGATTCCAGGACCTTGGGATCATGACCTGAGCCAAAGGCAGATGCCCCTAGCCTAGGTGAGCGCCTAGGTGGCGCCCCTATTTGAGTCTTTTTAATGATTTCTATTTCTTTGTGAAATTTCTCATTTTTTAAATGTAGTGCTTTCCTGCTTTTATTGAATTATCTTTCTGGGTTTTCTTATAGTTCACTGTGCTTCCTTAAAACAACTATTTTGAATAGCTTATCAGGAAAATTGCAGATCTCCATTTCTTTGGAGTCAGTTACTAGAAAATCATTGTTTCCCTTTTGTGGTGTCACATATCTTTCATTTCTCATGTTCCTTGAAGTCTTGCATTGCTGTCTTCACATTTGAAGAATTCACCTCCTCTAGTCTTTACTGACTGGCTTTGGGAGAGAAATACCTTCCATCAGCCCTGTATGAATTCTGAGGCTTTCTCAGACCTTCTATGGATACACATGTTCCACACTTCTTATTCCCTCTTAGGGAATAGTTTCTAAGATTGTATGACTTCTTTTGATCCTACAAAAGCAGGATTAGTGCTTAAAGCTTTCTGTTTACTTCCCCCAGGGTGGTAGTGACTGCTCGAGTTTGTGTGCTTTCTTCCAATCTCACAGAGTCAGGTTGGCTTTCTGTATGTGTTCGCTAGCTGACTGTGAAGGCTGGCTCTGGCTGCCCTTGGGAATGAACCCTGATAACTGGCCATGGAGTAGTGACATGTGTGACTGAGGTATGTAGAGCACTGTGGGAGCCTGTGGACCAACATGGAGGATCTGTAAGTGGGGTGTCCCCTGTGGCTCATAAGTGGGTTTCCTAAAGGAGTCTGCAAAGCAGTTAGGAGATCCATGTCCAATCACTGTCCCCTGAGAGCTGTGGCTGCTATTCTCCCAGCTGCTCCTTGCACTCTATGTCATGTAACACACCTCAGAAATCTCAGTGAGAGGAGAAAGAAATGGGCCTCTTGGGCAGTGCCCCCAAACAACTGGGTAAGCTGGGTGCTCACTCGCATGCTCCCCACTCCCCCTGTGGGAGAAATCGCATGCCAAAAGGTCTCTCTTGTCACTGAGCTGTGCTGTCTTGAGGGAGGACTGACACAGGTAAAGTGAAACTGTTCCTTTTACCCTCTTCAATGCACCCAATCTCATTACTTTTTGCTCAAACGGTTGCTGGAACCTCACTGGACTTCTGGACTTACACAGAGGCACTATCATCCTTGGATGATTATCAGAATTGGTGTTCTTTGGGCATAAGATGGCAGAAAACTCCTATTTCACGATTTTGATGGTGTCTTAGAATAAGCTTGTCTGTGTCTACAGAAAACTTTGTTGTGATTTTGATGGGAATTTCATTAAATGTATAGATCAGTTTGAGCAGAATTGACATTTTCCTACACAGAGTCGTCCAACTGATGAATATAGTATGTCTCTCCATTTATCTAGGATTTTTTTATTTCTTTGAAGCATTTTGTAATTGTCAGCACATAGATCTTATGCATGTCTATTGGATTTACACTTAAGTATATCCTTTTCTTTGGAACAATTGTAAATGATATTGTGTGTTTAATTTCAGTTTTCACATCTGTTATTAGTACACAGAAATGAGATTGACTTTTGTGTATTGATCTTATATCCTGGAGTCTTACGAGCTCAGTTCTAAGAGTTTTGGGGTAGATTCCATGGATTTTTCTATGTAGATAATCACATAATGTGCAAACAGGGAAAGTTTTTATTTCTTCCCTCCTATTATCTATGTCTTTTAATTTCTTTTTCTTGCCTTATTGTACTGATATAACTTCTAGGTCTATGTTGAATAACAGTAGTGCCAGTGGACATCCTTGATTTGATCCTGCTTTTAGGAGGAAAGTATTCAGTATTTCACCAGTCAGCATGATGTTAGTTACATTTTTTGTACGTATTTTTTTATCAAGTTCAAAATTTCCCTCCTATTCCAGTTTGGTAAGATTTTGCATCAACATGTTGTCAAAAGCTTTAGGTGTATAAACCAATATGATCATGTGATTTTTTTCTCCTGTAGTCTGATGATATTATGAACTACATCAACTGATTTTTGAATGCTGAAGCAGTCTTGCCTATCAGGAATAAATACCATTTGGCTGTGGTGTATAATTATTTTTATACACTGTCAGATTCAATTTGTTAATATGTTGTTGAAGATTCCTACATCTAAATTTATAGGAGTTATTGATATGTAGTCTTCCCTTTTTTGTAGTATCTATTTTTGGTATCAGAGTAACACAAACTATATAAAATGAATTGGGGGGACCTTGGTGGTTCAGCTGGTTAAACATTCCACTCTTGATTTCGGCTCAGGTCATGATATCATGGCCATGAAATCGAGTACCACGTTGGGCTCTGTGCTACTCTCTCTACCTCTGCCCCTTCCCCAGCTCATGCATGCTCTCTATCTATAAAAAAAATATTAAAATAAAAAAATGATTTGGGAAGTGTTTTCTTCTCTTCTATTTTCTGGGAGAGACTGCATAAAATTCTTCCTTAAGTGTTTCATAAGTTCTCCAATGAAACCTTGGCCCAGAGATTTCTTTGGGGGAAGCATTTTATTATTATTAAAAATTCAATTTCTGTAAGATTATAGGACTATTCAGGTTGACTATTCAAGTTGGTTAGATCTGGGTGTTTGCAATTTTGGGGAATTGGTCAATCTGACTAAGTCATCAAATTTATTAACGTAAAGTTATTTTCTAGTGTTCCTTCATCATTTTCTTAGTTCCTCCAAGATACCCATTCTCATTCCTAATATTGGTGACTTGAGTCTTCTCATTTTTTTAGCAGACCTCCTGGGTCAGTCTAGTTGAAGACTTTCATTCTAGTTGTAGAGGTGGGGGCTCAACTCTCCACTGGATCCTGCTGATACTGGGGTAAGGGTTAAGAGTACTGGTGATCTGTTTCACCTTACAACAGTCTTGTTGCTGCTGAGTAGAAGTGGAGGCTTAGCTTACCAATGGGCCCTGCTGACATTACCCTGATGAAAATCTAAGTTCTACTAGGCGGGGTAGAAGATTAGTTCCCTGCTCAGCCCCACCAATAGCACCACATTGAGTAACGGGAGTGTTACCACCGGCTACCAGTGTCTGATTACTTGCCATGGATCAGAAGTCAGGTGAAAGATCAGTTCCTGCCAGGTCCTGCTGAAACTGGTGTATGTGTGCGTGTGTTCAGTTTTTCCATTTTCTTTGACTGATGTACAGAGAATAGAGCTAGAAAGGTTTTTGTTTTGTTTGTTTGTTTGTTTTTAATCATTAGGCCACCATCTTCCCTGTCCTTTGGGTAGGGAGAACAAGGTTTTTCTTGGTTTGTCTATACCTATTAGAGATTCAGGGCATACATATATGCTCTTACCCAGGATATATGGAAGGCAATAAGGAAACCCAGACAACTTGCTGCCTTTCCCTTCCTCCGGTTGCAAGCTCCCTAGGCAACCTGTCTTTGTCTTTCTCCCTTTCAGAGGTTTCCTATGCTCATTTGTTGTGTTATGTCCAAAGTGTTCGTTTATTAAGAGGGAGGACCTGGGAGGAATAGGGCCATTCCATCCTAGCAGAATCAGGAGTCCCTGTTTTCTTTTTGTAAAAATACCAAATTGTAATCCCATTGTATATATAGTTTTATATCATTTTTACTTATCATATCTTAAGTTTTTAATTTCTGTAATAAATCCTTTAAGTACAATTTTAAAAGCTATATAATTCCCCATTGAGTGGCCAGAACATGATTTACATAATCATTTTCATATTGTTGAAAATTTAGATTCCAACATTATTGCTAAAATAAATAATGTACTAATGAAAACGTTTATGCCCTGAAGTTCTTCTGTATTTAGGATTATTATCTTAGATAGTCCCAGACGTGGAATCATGCACAGCCTAATAGCAACATGGAAGAGTGCCTCTTTTGTTCTCACCAACACTGGGACTTCGACATGCTCTTAAACATGAGCCAATTTGTTGGAGAAAACAGCAGTGTGGTACGCCCTCATCTGCATGTCTCTGATCACCAGGGAGCTTGGTCAATTGTCCTCCTTTTATAACCTGCCTTTTCATGCCTTTCTCCTGTTCATCTTCTGGGTCCTCAAGTATTCTTTTGGAATAAACTTCCAGCAGAAGGATCTGACTAAAACTGGTTGAAGTTTTCTTCAACCAAGAAAGATATAGGGCAATGTCAAAGATAAGCTAGGAGAGAAATAATTTAATCCTCTGTTCAACTACTGCAAAAATCAAGGGCTTAACAGGAAAACACCTGCCAATTAAATGAAGGCATCAGATGAAGATGAAACATATGAAACACTTCAGATTTCTGGATAACTCTTGATCTTGAAAAGTATGCCGTTTAAGAAGAATAAACATTTCCTGAATCTTACCTGCAGCATAACAACATTGTCACCTTCAAAAGTCACAAACACATCTGTGTCGCATTTTAGGCCTGAGATTCGGTTTTCCATCATGTAACCCTATTGCAGAAAAAAGAAAAGAAACATATTTCAAATTTCCAATTCCACCATTATAAAGGATGAACATTTTCTTTGAAATTAAACAAAAACACAGAAAATGGAAAAGAATAAAATAACTATAGTTTTTCTGCCCAGAATAACCATTCTAAGAATTTTGAGCCATCACACTTGCTTTTGATCCAGAAATATTTTTGTGGATTTGCCTTCATTATTAGTAACCATTTGAAAACGGTCATGTTGCATTTTTCCGAAATAGTTCAACAAATTGTGCTGATTTTTTTTTCTCTCTTCCAAATCTTGTGAATTCTAATAAATGTCAAGAAATTAGTGATTTCGTCCTAAAATACGCAGGAGAATGATGCCTCCTCAACCCCATCCCCATCCCTATCAAAATTAGCACATGTACCTGGTTCTTGGGACACAACATAAAAATCTTAAATTGCCACTCTGCATATTAATATCATTAAACACTTTGCATCATAAATTCACGCTCTAGTTTCCAGCTAGTTTTTTTCTTTTTCTTTCTTTCTTTTCTTTTTTTTTTTTTTTTTACTTCCTGAAATCCTTATTTAAATGGCAGTAGCCTGCTGCTCATTTTCAAAGTGTTGACAGTATTTCTGCACACAAACTGGGAGAAGCAGCTGCTCAAGGGAAAGTCGATCAGCCCCAGGCAAAATGTGGAGCAGCAAAGTTTGCCTTTGTTTGGCCTCAGGCCCTTCCCCTTCTGAAGGCCCCAGCGCTGTATTTCTTCCAGTTCGTTGCTCTCCCCATTAAATTCCCAAAATCTTTCCCACTCTCGAAATCTGCTTCCACAAATCAATCCTGCCTAAGTAAGTTATAGCAGAGGTGACTGTCACGCTACTTCTCCCAGGAGTATTTGTAGTTAGCACGGCAGCTCTGAAGAAGGAAAGACAAGATTTAGCCCCTGCTGAAATCTTCAAGTCACACAGAGCCTCACAGAATGGTGCTCCCATGGGCAGGCAGACACTCCTATCTCAAGACACCTTAACACCCTGGAGGACCACCTTTATTTCTGAAAATGGCCATTTGAGTCAGAAAAGCCAGAACTTCCAGGGACCTGCTGCCTGCGGAGCCCTGAAGTCCCCGAGCATCAGTGCTTTGTGGCCCAAGAGCCTTCCTCTGAGGTCCCTACTTTCCCTCCCCATCCCCCCCAGTCATGGCGGCCGTCTGGGCAGGCCAAACTGAGTGTTCTCATCTGCGGGAATACTTAATTACTTTTGTAAATGTAAACAGGGTTTATGTATGGAAAAATAAATCAGTAGCATTTCCAATCTCCCCCAATCTTGTGCCATAACCACAGGGTTAAACCCACCCCACAGGCAGACCACATGAAATCAGGTTCTGACTGAATGTGACCAGAGCCCAGAGTGCTTCCCGGCCACAAGGCCATAGCTGACTCATTTTCATCATCGTTGTGCTACCATTGATTGAATACCACCACAAGCCAGATTCTGGACTGAGTGTTTTACCAAAAGAAACCTCACCTGTTAATCCACGTAATCCCCTTCATTCTGACAACAGCTATGTGAGGTAGGCATGACCCCATTTTACAGATGAAGAAAGGGAGGCTTGAGAGCTATGTCAGAATGATCTTGAATCTATCAAGTTCTGGTGTGGAAAATATTAACACTACAGATACCACCTCAGTGTTAGGAAGAACATTCGTACTTAAGGGGCATAGCGGCTAAGTGCTCAAAATAAGGATTTTGAAGAAACAAAATACTTTTTCTTTTGGCGCTTTGCTCTGGTCTCCCCGAGTAGGGATGGAAGTGCCTGGTTCTTTGTTGTTCTCTGACTCTTCCGAATTTGTACACACTCTGTCCTGGGGGAAACCAGGACCACCAGGACTTTAAAATGACCTGAAAGATAATTTACTTAAAATGCAGCAAAATCAGCAAACAAATAACAACAGTCTCTCAGGGAATGTGCAAGGGAGTCCTGTGAACATACAGATGCTCTATCTTAGGTTCGTTCTTCCAATACAGTGTAATTGATTTCTCTTCTAGATGGCGAAACTCAACCTTGAACCCTTCTTCATGTCTGAATATTGAGTAAAACCACATGATTGCTTTCATGAAGATTCCAGACTCTCCAGGGCCCAGACTCAGAAGAGGTACAAGGCACACAGCCTTCACAGAGCTTGTAGACAGCTGAAAACAAAACAGCCAAGAGAAAACCCAAAGCCAACCACGTGCAAGGCACGGCTATGGCTGACACATTGCTTCCAATCTCCCGAAACCACCAAGGGCATAGTTATGATCTAATTTCCTTAGAAAAGGTCAGAGAAGGCTATCCTCATAAAAATCTAAATCTTTGAAATATCTGGGGTGACCCATTGAGGAACTAACAATGCTCAAGTCCCAGGTATCTGAGTTCTGTGTGAATGTGCACACAAGTTTAGAGGAAAGACACACAACCCAGAGAGTTACTGAATGCAGACCTGCAGCCATCTTCTGATGGCTGATCCTTCTTGAGGACTTAAATTCTAAATTTGGATCCCTGAACTCTTTGGGGGGGACAAATGATTATAAACTGTGTGTGTGTGTGTGTGTGTGTGTGTGTGTGATTTTCTAATTAAAAATGAACTTGGTTTTTAAATTAATTACTAAAAGCAGTACAAAAGCATTATTTAAAAAAATGAGAACAGAGAGGAAAAACCCACAAAAAAAGAAAAAATAAAGTGATTTGTAATCTCATGATGTAGGACATAAAAGGGTAACTGGGAAAGAAAGACCCCAGGAAAAAGGCTTGGAATAGGAGCTGAGATTACAAGGACAGAGGTAAGTGTTGAGAAGAGAAAGGTGGGGAGGGACTGGGAAACCAGAAGGGCAGATCTGGGTTAAGGGAACCATGGAGTGTTCCAGAGGGAGGAGGATATTGATTGAACATGTTGGAGTTAGAAAAGACTGAGGAATGATTCGGGTGTGAGAAAGCCAGAATCAGTGAGCAAGACAGGAAAGTGAGAGTGCTGGATTTAGGGAAAGAGGAAATCTGTTAACCTCATAGGCACCCACAGCACCCATGGGTGGCAAGCTGGGGGGCAATCCTGGGCTCTGCAGCCTGAGACGTTTCCACATCAGGTCACGACCCAGCAGTTGTTACCTCCACAAGGCTTTATAAACCAGCACCACAGGATGTGTCAAGAAAAGGGACAGTCACGGTCATTACTGAGAACCAATTCTATGTTCTGTGTTACATCCAATATTTCATTTCCACCCTTCACAACGACATCTCAGCACCCCTGTTTGGGGATGAGAAAGTTGAGAGTCAGTGAGGTTTTCTGACCCTGCTCCTGCCACAGTGGCTTCTGGCCCACCCCCTGGGGTTTTTCAGTGTTGTTCCCCTGTCTGGAGCAATGCCCCCAGATCTCCATGGGGGCTCTCTTTCCTCTCATTTCTGTCTCTGGTCCAAAGTTCCCACTGCCAGGAGGCCATCCCTGGTCCTTCTGTCCGAAACGGCTGCCCTGCCCGCCACCTTTTCTCCCTATCTCTTCACCTCAATTAATTTTTTTTTATAGCATTTCCAGGTATCTTTCTAAGCAGAGGACATTTGTGCACAGACACACAAAGAAGGAAGACCATGTAAAGACACAGGGAGGAGAAGACAATCACAAACCAAACAGAGAAGCCTCAGAAGCAACACACCCTGCCAACCCCCAATTTGGACTTTTAGCCTCTAGGACTGTGAGAAAATAAATTTCTGTTTTTCAAGGCCCTCAGTCAGAGGTATTTTGTGATGGCAGTCGGCGCGGACTAACTCAGAGCGCGGCCGCGCGTGTGCATACACACACGGAGATAAATCAATGCGAACGGCTTCTCTAACAGAAGTAAATCCTCTGGAGTCTAAGGAAATCCTCCTCTAAGCCATTATCTCGAGGGGCTCAACAGCACCTTGGAAAATGGAATGGCAGTCCCATAAGCTTTTTTTTCCCCCCACATTGGACTCCTAAGGAAGGGCATTTGCTTATACATTTCTGGCTGGAGTAGGGAAGCAGATGAGGAAAAAAGAGGGACGTGAGGGAAGAAACAGGTTTCATCCCCCCGAAAGTGAATAATATTTTCCATTAGCTTATTTCACTCTTAATTTAAAAAAGAAACATAGAATAGACAGAGGGAACTCTAAACTGCACGCTCCCAAAGCCAACAGAATCCTCAGGGGGTCATGCAGCCCAGAATCTGGTCTCCCCGAAGAAAGAGCACACCGGGTAGATGTGTTACTCTATCTCTGCCTTCTGGGTTACATTGAGCCTCTTAGCAAGTAATTGTGAATGTCATTAAGGTTGTGTCCCCTTTCAGTAAGAGCCCCATGCAACATATTTTATGATTCAAGCTTTGTACATTGAAAGTTTCATATTTTCCTGCTGTTTTTAACATCTCTGAATTTTTTTTTTACTGTATGATTACATTTAATAAATGGATCAGAACAAATTAGAAACAGGCTTTCTTCCCTCCTTTTAAACAAATTGAGGGTAAATTTTGTTAATTTGAAGAAGAAGAAACAGACAAAGTCAATCTTATTTTCAATTTGTTAGGGGAGGGTCGATCAGAAATACAGACACTGACCCACCCAGCAGGAAGGACCGTGTCGTAGAGTTGTGTTAATTTATACCTGTGTATCTCCACCACCCCAAATGGGGCAGAGCCTGTACACATGGACAGCTGACATGTGTGAGATTCACTGCACCCTTTCCTGAGACAGCTGTGGTCTGAGTGGAGTCTTCTGACAGCCAAAGTTCAAGCCCGAACAGATGACGGATGTTCTTATGGAAGTGATGACAAGTCGTCCTGCCCTGCCCTGTTTGCTTTGAGGTGACCCTGCATTGTCAGGGCTTATGAAATGGGGAGAGTGGGTGGGAGGAAATTCATTCGTGGGTCCTGTCACCAAATGTATAGTGAGAGTCTCAAGCCTCAGGTACTATGCTATGCACTGCAACCAAAGACACAACCCCCTCCTCAGAAGAGAGATAGGTGTTGCTCAGG